TATCACTATCTCGCTCTCTGTGGGCAGGCTCTCTCTTTCTAAGTAGGGTAACCTTTTATTTATTTTTCTCAGGACGACAAAGACTGATTTACGTTTAAACAGTGTGTCTTGATAAAGTGCACTTAATATGATTATGAAAAAAGGTTTTCGATGTTTTTGTTTTAAGATGAATTACAACATTAAGAAAGTGTAAAGGCATCGAAAACTGTGGATATTTGATAGAAAACAGATTTTAATTTGGCAGTTGACAGACGGATTTGGATATGGATTGATTACAGTAAACGGCCGTAGAAAACATTATGCAAAATTAGATAAGTAAGGTCCCACAGAAAGTCCCAGATATATCCTCAATATGGTCATACTACTTCAAAATGTCTTATAGAAACAAAAATTTTAAATTTGCTCAAAGTCAATGAAACTCAATGTAAAATCTTCTTTTTCTTGACATATGTAACATTTAATAATAAGTTTAAATACTGGTAAAACGTTTTAGGAAGTAATTACTGTGAAAATACAAAGAAATATGTTAACAATGATCCACTGTCAGAAATCACGAAATAAACACTTACGCGTGGAATTTTATATCACTTCCAGGACAACACGAACTACCGCAACCACGCACTATACAATTTTGCACCATTTCTTCAGACAAAACGACGCCGCCACCGCGTCGTCGCCGCGCCGCCGCCGCACCGTCGCCGCGCTAATATTTCTATTAACTTTCCGAAAAAAATGTGAATGGCGCCTTATGATGTTTAGTTTCGAGCTCGTTGATAGACACCCTTATTTTCCTGTGTGTACCCTTGGCTGTTCCCTTGATGGTACAGTGGAAAATAAATTTTAACCGCTGTACCCTCGACCGTAAAGATGGGTTTATGGTTACACGAGTTAGAGTAGGCGCACACCGTTGATTTTTCGTCGGCCGATAGTTTAGTCGGGCTGTTGATCAGCATGGGCATGTATGGGAGTGCGCACACTACGCCGATTCGATTTGGCCGATTCATCATACAATTTGAAATCGGGCACAACTAACGGCCAACTAAAAATCAACGGTGTGCGCCTACTCTTATGGATGACGAAGAATGACACGCTCGTTTTCATACTTTTTATTCTATTTAGGTATTTGACATGCGGTATAATTATTTAAATCTATGTGCGGAAACGTCACGAAATCTGAATCTTCATTGACCGCCAAACCCCCTATAGTGAAAAATACAATTTGTGACCACATTGAAAAACCTTGCTATTGTGGAAATCGTTTTTTATTCTCTTAATTTTTCACAGATCATACATACCTACTGATAAACTCTATTTTTCTTTTTATGAATCTCTAATCAATTGTATCTTAAAAGTATTATATTATGACATAGAATCACAGATCAATATACATACCTACTTATAAATAAGTATAGATGACCCACACTGAACTGTCCCACCAAACTCAATGACAGGGGGGCGCTACCATCGGTCAACTATATGGTTTTCAACATGGCAAAAATCTGAACCAGCGATCCGGTATTGACGGTGGCGCCCCACTGTCAATGTCATCGACAGGACAGTCCAGTATTTTGGAACTATAAAGTATAGCCTGACCAGGAACATAAAAACCCTGGCATAGTGGCGCGTCAATTGCATTTGATAGTGCAACACTGAGTACAGTCGTACCTGTGTTAAATTAATAGGCTAACTTTATGGATCAGGATTCAGGATTACGGGCTAATTTGATATTTTTATAAATTAACGAAAACATATTATTATAGGTAACCTGATTTAAATAATTTAAATGAAACCATCAATCGAGCTAGTAGAATTTATTTTATTATTCATCAATAATCAAATTCAGAACTTGAATATTCAACTGCAATGTCTGCTCATGAACGCTTCAAACTCGGTACTTCTTTCCCAATCCCATAAAATTCAACACTTAGAAAGTGACAAAAAATTTTAAAATAGGTAAAGTGGAATGCCGAGTTGTATTTCTAAAACTTGTTCTATTATTTTATACTATTTGGCTGCGACTCGGCGTGACGACAATACAAAACATTTTTCGCGAATCGGTGTTCATACATTCACTTAATACATTAGACGCCATGTTGTCATAAACGACATATTATAAAATCGCTGTGATTTAATATTCTTAATCATTAATTTTATGGCAAGTGTCCATCAGGAATCATTGTTCTTACACACAGAATCGTATTATTTCGCTTTCGGGTAGTAATATGTCAAAATTGTTGGTTCTTAGGCGAACAATGTATGGAGAACGAACATTGTCCTTTATTAAAATCTCTCCAGCTGTTTAGACATGAAGAAGTAACAAACATTCACAAAACTTTCGCCTTTATTAGTGTGATCATTCCTCAACCATCATCATCAGTTCATTTTGCCTTCTACAGAAGCACAACCCGGTCTAATTTAACAAAAGACAAATTAAGGATTTTCATTTATCCTTCTCTGGCCAAATTGGTATAAGGTGTGATGAACCAAAAATATAATTATGTATTTCTTCATCTTTCAGATGTTATTGGAGTCTGCAAATCAGTAGCTGACCTGCAAGAGCTGACAGCCAAAAGCACAGGAAAGCTATTGAAGAAGAGAGAAGTGACTTTAGTGGATTCCTCTGGTGGTGCAGTATGTATTTGTTATCACTTTTATTATAAATTCATAAGTTATTAATTATTGTTTTCTTTAAAAATTATTTATTTTTAGGTTGTCCTTACATTATGGGGAGCTGAAGCAGAAAAGTTTGAAGGAAGCACCAATCCTGTTATTTCTGCAAAGGTGATATTTATTTTTAACTAGCGGCCGCCCGCGACTTCGTACGCGTGGATCTCGTTTTACCCCCCCTTCATCTATCTTACGCGGTTCAGATTTTGTCAAAATTCCCACGGAAACGGGAGTTAGCGGCAAATGTTTTTTCCCGCTAACTCCCGTTTCCGTGGGAATTTTGCAATATCCTGTTGTAACTAANGAGACATTCAGGTGTTTATTCTTTACTTATGATGCAAATGGTATGATTCGATACAAGATACAATGTCCTAATGGTAGGCGGCATAGGGGGTTATAATTACAATTAATTTCATGTGATATCCAACTGTACTAGGTATCATTACCTAATAAGTTTATAGTAGTCACAGTTCCACAGCCTAGTCCTTTGTCCGATTAGGACTGAATGGACTGATGATGAATAAGGCCATGGGTCCCATCTAGTGTTCCCGGGGCCTATAGGCTTTTAGGCCTAAAATTAAGCCTATTTAGTTCTTTTTTTGGCCATGATAGACTACTAGGCTTTTAAAAGGCTACTCATAAAAAGCCTATAGGTTTTAAAAAAACCCGTAGGCCTGAAATAGCATTTTAGGCTTTATTTCCGACTAAAGTCTTTTTCGAGTAGTAGGCTTATTATAAGGCTATAGCCATTATTCAGGCTATGACTTCGTATGAATGAAACAAAGTATTTTTGTATTGCATTTATTTTCTAATTAAATAAAAACGTTATGCAAAATATACAGGGTGTTAGGTAAATGGGTATATGAGCCGACACTAGCCCATGTAAACATGGTCATATAAATGGTATGGTGAAGTCAGAAAATCGTTATCTTCATTTTAATTATTTTAATTTTCATACAAATCGGATTTTATAAAATTTATTTTGTATGAAAGTTAAAAAAATTAAAATGATGATATCAAATATCTGACTTCACCATACCATTTATATGACCATGTTAACATGGGCTAGTGTCGGCTCATATACCCATTTACCTAACACCCTGTATAATTTCTTTTTTGATATATTTTTTTTAATAAAATTTAACTTATTTCTTGCTTTTTAGTTAACTAATTATTACCTTGATGTTACCACCGAAGGTAGGCAGTACATTGAGACCATATTCTTCATGTCTAGTGTAAAATAATATTCCCTACAAAATACAGGTTACCATATCGGCAACCTAAAAAGACCTTAAACCGTCAGCCCACCTTAAAAACATGAAAGAATACAACTATTAGTCTATTTGTACCTATAATATTTAAATAATTATCCTCCAACTCCTGAGCATTAAGTAGTTTTACCTTCTATCATCAGCTCATCAATAATTATGAGATCATGATTAATTCCAGGAGCGAATACTTGAATAACTTAAAAAGTTTGAAAAACGATATACGTGCCTATAAAATTTGAGGGTTGCCCTCGATTTCTCTAGGATCCCATCATCAGATCCTGACTTGGTAACAATGGGACCACCTCCGAAGTGTACCCTATCGAACAAAAAAATAATTTTGAAAATTGGTCCACAAAATTGACGGAGTAATCGGTGAACATACATAGAAAAAAAATACATACAGTCGAATATAACCTCTTCCTTTTTTGAAGTCTGTTAAAAATAAATAAAATAGACCTAGCCTAAAGGACTAAAAACCTTTATAGGCTTTTTAGCCTTTCAAGCCTTTTAAATATGCGCCTAGCCTACAAAAAGGCTAAAAGCCTATAGTAATCGGGTGGACAAAAAAAAAGGCTATGAAAAAGGCCTAGCCTAAAGGCCTAAAAGACTTTTTAGGCTTTTTTCCCGCTGTAGCCCCTAATTCATAGGCTAGCCTTAAAAAAAAAGCCTAAAAGCCTATAGGCCTCGGGAACACTAGTCCCATCCCAGCCCATGGGCTAGTGACCAGCAATCAATGAAAAAATAAAGGTTAGAGATTGGATTTTGGGGACTTAAACGAGTTATTGGTAGTGCAATAAAGTTGAGGCGGACACAAATACTCAAGAATTCGGAACAAATCAATAAGACGGAATGTACATACATGACAGAATCGTATGTAAATGACATAATTTCTAAGTTCTACTTCCAAGTTTTATTAGAACCATTTTTTTTGTATTCATTTAAACGATTTTTTATTTTTTTATAATATTAAGATAAAATAATGTGATATTTACACCAGTGATGAAATCACAACTGTTACTCACTATGCGCACCTCCCTATGGCTTCTTTCTCAAATGTCAAAAAATTGCGATTGATGCCGGGCGGTGTGGTTGTTTGTTGGAATTCCTTATTCATTGGCGCGAAAGCAATTAATAAAATACTACTGAGGAATCCTGTAAATTTTTAGTTTTGCTATGGCCGGGGTGAAATCTTTGGCGGTCAGGGGCATAAGAAGTTTCGGTCCAGAGGACGGCGATGAACAAAGGATAACGTTCGAAAAACCACTAACATTAATCCTAGGACAAAATGGTTGTGGTAAAACAACTATCATCGAATGTTTACGATACGCTATCACCGGGCAAATGCCGCCGGGAAGCCGTAATGAGTGTTTTGTTCATGACGCTAAAGTCAATGGAACCAACGAAGTATTGGCCCAAGTCAGACTGAAGGTATGAATTTATTATGTGGCATGTCGACAATTACCTACTGTAACTGTGTAAAATTAAGATATGAAATTAATACAACTTCCATGACAAAAAAAATGATATAAAATTTTTAATTATCAAAACAGTATTTACTAAATTAAATAAAACTACATTGTCTCATTTTTCATCTGATAGATAATTACAAAATGCAATTAATTATGAACTTCGACCTGTGCAGCAATAGCCAACTATATCTCATTGCTCTATAATTTTTGTACATTTTTAAGTAAATTAAATAAATTTGTTTTACATAGATTGTCAATGCAAAGGACAAGCAGCTAGAGGTGTCTAGGTCTATGCGTGTCACCGCACTACAGAAGAAGAAGACAAAGTTTCAGACTTTGGATTCATTTCTGTCTGTGCTTGATGATGCTGGAAAAACTAAAGACATTTCATCGAGATGTGCTGATTTAGATTTTGTCATGTATGAAGAACTTGGTATGTTAGAATTTGTTATTATTGATATTTATCTTAAAGCTGATTTTACTGATATAATAATAAAATAAGTTAATTTGAAGAATACTAAAAATCTTCTTATTCGTCAGGGGTATCCAAGGCTATTCTTAATTCAGTTATATTCTGTCACCAAGAAGACTCAAGTTGGCCTTTGGATGAAGGTAAAAAAGTAAAGGAGCGATTTGATGAGATTTTTGAAGCTGACAGATACAGTGACTGTTTTGAACGTCTCAAAAAGATAAGAAAGGAATACACACAAAACTTAAAACTTCTCGGTAAGTAATAGCTTTTTTCTTTTTCTCACCACAATTTTTAACATGTAATATCTACTTAAATGTATTTAGTACAACTAGTTTACTACTAAAATTGTGGTAATACCTCTGATAACGTTATAGCAATTTAAAAAAAAAACAATTATTATGATTGGTTTCTGATAATGTATCACTAAATGAACAGAACAAGAAGTGGCTCACTTGACTGAGAAGAAGGAAGACTTGGATAAGAAAAAGTTGGATGTCATTAACACTGAAACTCGCATATCTGAAGCTGAGCTAAAGGTGGCTGAATTAACACAAGAATTGAAACCCATCTCTGAAAAACTGTCTGCAATCACTACTCTTGAGAATAATATTGTAGCATTTGAAGCAAAGAAGGAGAAAATCAAAAATAAGTATGTGTTACTTTACTATGTTTATTATTTCTTTTAAAAATGATAACAGGCAAATGAAACAACTATAATTTCAAATAATCATAAATTGTAAAGTAAAATTTTTAGTTATTTTAAATTTTATACAACTACACATTAATATTTCAACTACATAAGAAGTCACAGAGTTTAGTTTGATGTGACATTGTTTATGAATGATAAAGATAAAAGATAAAGATATTTATTTACATAAACATATAATTTGTGTTATCATTTTCAGGCTTGAGCACAACCGAACTCAAGAAGAGGAATTAAAAAAAGCCATTAAAAACATCTTTGAAGGAACAACAGCTGAGCTGCAGGAAAATATAAGTATGAACTCATTTATCAAAATTATGTTTCCTTACATGTATGTACTTGTACATTACTAAGTTGATATTAAATTTCTAGGCAACTATGGAGCTACTGCAAAGGCTAAACAAAAGGAACTTAACGACTCATACAAGAAGAACTTCGGCTTCAACAAAGAAGAAGAGAAAATTGCAGATGAAAAAACTAAAAATGAAATGAAAGTCAGCAAGTTAATTCTTCTAGAAAGTCAGAATCAAGAAAAGATTGAAAAGAGAAACAAACTTGTTGTTGAAACAGCTCAAATAGCAGAAATAGAAGGTGTTACTGAAGTTGCAACAGATGAAGATGCTGAGAAAGGTGTTGAAAAAATAACTGAAAAAGTTAATGCTCTAAAGAAAGACCTCAATGAACATAAAAAGGTTGTTGACGCCGATGAAAGCAAATTACAGTTAACTGTTGACGAAAGCAGAGATGCGCTTTCGCGACACAAACAAAAAATATCCAACAAGGAATCAGATATCCAAAAAAACAAAAAGGATATTGCCAAAGTTGATAAAGAAATTACTGATGCCAATGAATCTAAAGTGAAATTGGAGAACTTGGAAAAAAAGATTGAATCTGCAGAGGAAGAATACAAACAGCTTCAGAGTGAGCTCAATACTGAAGAGTGTCAACAAGAGATCACTGAGGATGAAAAAGTAATGGAGACTTATGAAACTGAACTCGATGAGCTATCTGAAAAGATAACTAAGCTCCAAAAGCAAAGTGCCAAGTTAAAGGAAAGAGATCTGGTTGAAGAGTCTTTAAAAACTAAAGAGAAGCAGGCAGCTGTGTTAAGGAACAAACATAAAGCAGCACTCACAGATATCTTGGGCAGCATGCCTGAAAAGGACTTTGCACTTTCTGTAAACAAGTTTGAGTGTGAGATTCGAGCTGAAGTGGACTCAATGAAAAAGAAACAGAAGGAGAAACACACACAACAGACTGCTCTGCAGACTGAGAGGAAACATGTTAGGGAAATGCTAACTGACAAACGCAGTGAGCTGACGAAAGCTGAAGACCAGATGTACAAAGCTTGTGGAACTCAGTCTTATGAGTCAACACTTGCTAAAGTTACCTCTAATGTGGAAAAATTGCAGGTAAGAGCACTAACTAGCTCACAAATATCATAAATTTTCATTTGATAGTTGTACTATAATAGATTTTAATAATTACAGGATGAACAAAATGTTCTTCAATCATCCATCTTCATCATTGGAAAATATAAAGGTCAACTTCAAGATAATAACTGCTGTCCCTTGTGTAGTCGCGGATTTGATAATGAATCTGAAGTAAGTGGATTGATCAACTCATAAAATTACAGAAGAACATATTGTTATGCAATCTTAACATTTAATTGTGCATTTTAGGTAACAGATTTAATATCGCAACTGACTACTCAAGTCATGAATGTGCCAGCAAAGTTGGAGAAAGTCACAGAAGATCTGCAGAAAGCCTCAGCTAAGAAAGACGAGTTGCTGAGCATGAAGTCTTTAAACGAAAAGATATCTACATTGAAAGAAAAAGATATCCCTCAACTTGAAAAGAGGTTGACTGATATTGAGCAGGTAATTCGCAGTTTACCTTTTAGCATATTATTATAACTGTCGAAATAAAACAAGTTACATTTAATTTATATATTTTTTAGCAAATTGCTACATTGACTCAAGAAACAGAAGAGTTGTCAATGGCGCTGATCGAGCCCGAAACAAAGATGCAGACTGCTAAGCAAATCCACAGTGATATGCCGCTGCTCGACCGCACCACGCAGGAGATCGCTACCATTACGAAAAACGTAAGTTCAATCAGTGAATAAACATAAAGATACAAGATTGTAGCAGATATTTATGGCATTCAAACTCTACTCTCTGGACAGTCTTGAAACTTCTTTAACCGATTGAGTCCCAGACGGCATTAATTAATGTCATAACAATTTATTATCTATTGTGTCTAGATTCGCGGAGCTTGAAGGANGAAACTTATTTAATTAAAGATAGTTAAGGGTGTTGATTATAGGTTTAAAAAAAAGCTAATTAATAAAAGAAACATTTCACATTTTAGCTCGAAGCAGTTAAAGCGCAGTGCGCCGACTTCGAGACGGACATGACTTTGGATGGTGCGTTGGCAAAACAGACTGATCTGAAACAAAAAATCAACTCCCTCAAAAATAAAATCAAAACTACTCAAAGGAAACTCAATGCCCACAACAAGAAGCTGCAAACAATGACTGAGAAGAAAAATAAGCTGAAGGAACAGTTGTTGAATTTGCAAAAGAAGGTATGTATAAAACAATAAAATATTTGCATTTGATATTTAACACAAAATCTAATAACACTCTTATAACGCAGGTTCAAGAAATATTCAATCTTCAAGAGAAAAAGAAGCAATTGGAAGAAGATGGCGAGAAATTTGTCCAAGAGCTTAAGGAGCTGCAAGACGGCATTCCGGCATTGGAAGAAGTGGTGAAAGAAAAGGAAGCAGCCAAGAGTGAGCAAATGAGCAAGTTAAGGTAAAAAAATATAATTATGTTTCAATAATACCTCTCTTTACTTTCTTTTTAAGTTTACATTAAAATTGCTTATTATTTTTTTCACAGGAGTGTAACAGAAACTAAAAACAGTTACATACTTAAAGTTACTAGTTCATTTGACAAAGTAAAGCAAATTAATCTGGAGATTAAACAGCACAAAGATAAGAACATTCCTTTGGAAATGGATAAAATCAAGGAAGCTAATGAAAAACTGATGGAGAAGCAAAAGCAGATTATGGCTGATAGGGATGCTCTTACTAAAAGAATCGACACCTTGAAAGATGAGTTGGCTAAACAAGAGGTAAGAGTCATGTAATAAAAATACATAATGTACCTAACACTTATAAATAACAGTTCTGACTTAATTCAATTACTTGAAAGCTTCATAATTTTGATGTGAACAAATTCTTTTTTTAGATCTACAAGAGGGACTTGGAAGACAACATGAAATTGCGCAAAGCACAAACAGAAATCGAAAACCTTTTGAAAGAGGAAACTGAGAACAACGAAAAAATGAATGGCGCCAATATGGAAATGCTAACTGAAAAGCCTGCCCTAATCACGCAGCAAACTAAACTGTTCAGGGAAAAGGCCCAAAATGAAGGAGTTTTGAGTGAACTCAAGGCAAGTAGCAAATAATGATAGCCTTCGAGTCTAATATTATTAGAATTCAATTTCCTTGCACTATTTTGGTATTAGCATACTCAAAATAATATATCTTATTTTACAGGATAGATTAAAACAATGTCGCTTAGAATTGAAGAAAACTTTGAACAAAGACATAGAGAACAGATTCCGGGAAAAGTTCTATGAACTGCATGTCACTAAAGCCATAGACAAGGACATCAAAGACTATTCTATTGCTCTAGAGAAGTGCGTCATGGAATTCCATAGAGAGAAGATGGAGAGCATAAACCTAATTATCAGGTAATTAATTTTAAACAATAATACATACCTTTAATTATTGTGTTGTATTGTTTGTGAGGTGTACATGTTGTCCGATGTGCTGTTATGGTGACTGTATTTATTTCAATGTGTTTATTATTAATTTCAGAGAGTTATGGAGAAAGATTTACAGGGGCAATGATATTGATTACATCGAAATTAAAACTGAAGGAGGCATGACGGCAGAATCAGACCGTCGCAAATACGATTACAGGTAAAATACAAAACGACTCTATCAATATGAACTTAGAGATTAGTGTCGCTTAGGATGTGTTCTATTATAAATCTTGTAATTTACAGAGTGGTACAGTGCAAGAATGGTGTCGAAATTGACATGCGCGGAAGATGCAGTGCTGGTCAGAAAGTGTTAGCTTGCCTTATCATAAGGCTCGCTCTCGCAGAGACATTCAGCTCCAGGTAATTAATATTCAAAAATCTGTAGTCCCGGATTTATTTGAAACACTAGTGTTGCACAAATAATATCGACATTGGCGGAACGAAATCCGAGATATTTGTTCACCATAAACAAGATATTTAGTTCTCACTAAAATTAATGCGTACCTTTGACAACATAGTAAAATACAACTCTTTTTCAGATTTGGTATTTTGGCTTTGGATGAACCAACTACGAACCTGGATCAGGAAAATATAACGAGTCTCTGTTCGGCTCTTGGAGAAATTGTGAAGGAGCGAATGGTTCAGAAGAACTTCATGTTTATCATCATAACACACGACAAGGAGTTTATCGAGTCTCTCGGAAACATCGACAAAGTGTCCCATTACTATGAAGTGTCCAGAAACGAACATGGAAAGTCTAGAATTAAGAGAATTAGATTTGCGTAGAGTGTGTGTTTATATTAAAAAATGCTTTATTAATAGCCATTCCTTATAATTTTTTAACAGATTCATTAATATTTCAAGTAGATGTAAGAAGGCTGTGCCTTACAAATTAATTTCTCGGATCATTACATTTTGTATGTAAAAAATAAGAATAAAGTTTTTTTTTCTACAGTATTTCACTTAGCTGTTTTATTTATTTCATAAAACCAAGGGATATCTTTTTATCTGCCAGGTATAATTTACATATTATTTAAAGAAAACAAGTAGGTAACTTGGTAATGTTCATTTATTAAGTTAAGACAACATACATACCTATATCTATGAAGAATTAATAATACCTAATAAATAATTTAACTGAAATAACATTTGATATTGTAATTGGACTTCTCCAATTTCGAGAAGGAGGTCAATCGTCGAATCCAACTCGGCTGGGCAGCGTTCGGGAAACTACGCAACATCTTTTCGTCCAAAATACCTCAGTGCCTGAAGACGAAAGTCTACAACCAATGTGTGTTACCTGTGATGACTTATGGCTCGGAAACGTGGCCTATAGTGGTAGTGGTACTATAGGCCTTATACAGAAGCTCAAAGTTGCACAGCGTGCTATAGAGAGGGCTATGCTCCGTGTTTCTTTATCGAATCAGAAATGAGGAGATCCGTAAACGAACTAAAGTCGCTGACATAGCCCGGCGGATTAGCAAGCTGAAGTGGCAGTGGGCAGGGCACATAGTACGCAGAACTGACGGCCGATGGGGCAGCAAGGTTCTGGAATGGAGGCCGCGTACCGGAAAACGCAGCGTGGGACGTCCACCCACAAGGTGGACCGACGACCTGATAAAGGTAGTGGGAAGGCGCTGGATGCAGGCCGCTACCAACCGTGCAATGTGGAAGTCATTGGGGGAAGCCTATGTTTAGCAGTGGACGTCCTGTGGCTGAAATGATGATAATTGTAAAGACATGGTGCTCATATTCAGTTAGGTACTTGGAAAGGCTGATCTCATTTAAGTTATTAATAGCGGAATACCTATGGGTATAGCATGGTATAATACAAATCTAGTTTGGGACTAGAGGCGCAGTGTAAAACGTCCAAGGCTATTTATTTATTAAAAAAATCCAATCAATGGGAATCCTAGTTAAAAAAAGTCTAGACTAATATTATTTTCATTTTAACTGATTATGGTATTGAGGAGCTCGCATATCGTCGCTTGATTTATGTGTAACATTTTGCTCTCTTGAAGAACAGTCAATGTAACACCCAATAATTCAGCAATCTGCGTTGACGGAAATGATTGTGATAAGCATTTGGTAAGATATGGCACCAAGTCCTCACTGAAGCATACACAAAATAATACAAAGTTCTGCCTTTCAATATCTGTGAAGCCTTGTTGCTCCCTATGATAAAATGCTAGTAGGACTTGCACAGCCTTCTCAAATGACTTTCTAAACTCATTGTATACTTCTTTCACAATATTTAAAGGAGCTGTGACTCTTAGACAGTTCAAAACTGTTAATAGCCCATTACAATACTCTGCTAGTGGATAGTAATCCAACAAGTTTTCAGGTGGACCTTGCACCATACTTTCATTGACTGGCCTAGGAACATTCTTTATACTAGACACCTTATAAGAACGCATTTGGCTATCAAAATGGCTATCAGTTTTTTCTACACCACTATGAAATTGTGCGAGGATGTTGTTACGGAATAATGGTGTCAAAACGCATCTCATGTCTGCTCCAACTCTTCCAAATGACAAACATAAATACATGCACTGGTTAAGCAAAGACTCGAAACTGGACTCATCTTCTCTTGGCAGGTCTTGATTTAACATTTGAGCAAGAATTTCAACCTGAAACAAAAAAGTAATAATGATAACATTTACACAAAACTTCCAGCTACTTAACCAAATCTGCTGTTAATAAATTAATTACCTTTAACTTCAACCAGCAAGACAGAGCATTAGTTCCACTTAGCTCATCATCTTTCACTTTGGCCTCTTGTGTGTCAGACAAAAATATGGATTTATGTTGGGTCAGTACATTGAACAAATGTATTCTGTGCAGTTCCACTATTTTTCTTAATAACTTTTCTGGTGCTGAAACAATATAACTAGTATTACTAGTATATCAGGTGTACAAGAAAACGCGGCTGGTTGGAACCACATTTACAGATACAACATTTTCTATGCAACCCTGGAATTGTTATTTACACAATTCATTTTAAATGTTTGATTTGGACATAGTGGTGATAGTAATAATGAATGGGGTACATAATACATATTGAGTTTATGATTTGTTACTTTATAATGTTACATTTTGCTGTAGAAGTGTAGGTAGACAATGCAAAGGTGTGTAAAATATTGAATAGTCCAAAACTATTCTTTTATTACCTATAATTAAATAATCATAATATTATAAAAAGTATAGGGCTTACATTCATTATTCTTGGCATCTTCAAGTGCTTTTTCAAACCATGCATTTCTGGCTTTGAGAAAATGTAAATGCAGACCATCTGATATTACAATATTATTGCTGCTGGTCTTGCCAGAAATAAATTGATAAGTATCTTGTTCATCATCAGTTGATTTGTAAACTGTGTTTGCTCTTCTTAAATATCCAAGTATCTGCAAAGCATAAACATCTATGTAAGAATTTGAATACAGTATACAGGGCAATACTATTGTTGAGCTTATTATCTCAGTCCCCTTTTTACACAATGCACAAACTTACTTGTAAACATTGGGGCAAAGGGAGGTCATAACGAAGTTGATTGAAGAGATGATAGAGAGTCTCAAACCATAATGTGATAATTTCTGAAGTTGTATTCTGCAAAATAAGACAGTGATTTAGTTTAAATAACAGATTTAATGTGTTGAATAAATACAGCCATTATGAATAAAATTCAAATCACACATTAAAAAAAACATGTTACCTGCACAATTGGAATTTCAGAATATCTTTTAGATAAGTTGCGGATAAATGTGAATATGTCTAGAGCACTCTCATAGTCCTCTGCATTGAGGGCCTCTCTCATCAATGAAGGCAGCTCGAGCAACTCTAGTAGTTTGTCACTTTGGTTACGAATACTGCTGTATCGGCTGTAAAATATTTTCTAAATATCATTATTTTATTTTATCAACCTATAGATTACATTGCTTAATAACATTTTAATTTGATTGAACAGTACTGACTCTTTTTATCGTCTTCTTCTTTTCGTGTCGACAACAAACCTACACAGTGTCAGCCCAAAACTCTTTTTATCGTAATAATTTGCTTATAGTTTGTATTACCTTTTCTCCTTGACAATATTGCCAGCCATTTGTGAAAACTTCTCACATTCCTGTATAAACATTGGTGTTGTATCCACAAATGATGATAATGAATCTTTAGACTTGGTCAGGTCCTTCATGATAGTACGAGATATATCTGCTGTCTCTACAAATGTCTTATAGTTGGTAAAGGCCAGCTCCTGGGTTTGTTCAGTTAGTTGCCTCATCTCTTCTGTCAACCTCTCCGGCTCTTTGCGTACATGTTCCCAATTATGTGAGCCTAATTTTTTTATATAATCCGTAATATCATGGAAGTATTCCACTTTCTCTGCAAAAGTATAAGGGTAAAGTTAGTTTGGTCAAATTTTTTTTACAGGTAAACAATGCCGTCACAACACTCACCGGCTGCATTGTCGGGAAACAATAAATTACTAAGTTCTTTCAGTTCTTGTGCCATTTTTACAATTATTATACGCTTTATTAATTGAAATACAGTAGTTATTTCAGATAATTATTATTTTCGTATCTTTTTGTTTGCGTGTAATCATTCGTTTTGACCATAGAGAAAAGTAATACATAGGAAATAGAGAACCCACTCTGTACGTAACGCTCACATACACACATAGTACACGCACACATACATACATAAAGTCCACGCATACATACACACAGTTCACGCACACATAGGCCCTCATAACCTTCAAAGAATTATTGTTTTTTTGATGTACAATGTAGAATTTTTTCAAATCCATTATTTTGAAAGTATTTATCTTTATGGTGTACGTATTGTATTANAAAAAAAAAAAAAAAAAAAAAAAAAGCGTCAATTGCATTTGATAGTGCAACACTGAGTACAGTCGTACCTGTGTAACCTGTGTTAAATTATTAGGCTAACTTTATGTATCAGGATTCAGGATTACGGGCTAATTTGATATTTTCATAAATTCACGAAAAAATATTTTAATTGTTTTTTACTGATGATACGACGATGCGTATAAAAATCACCATAAAACCCTGGCGTTTGGGGGATGTGATTATCTATTTTACATTATCTTTGGGTCAGTCTATTCTTCGATTGAATGAAAAAGTCTTCTATTTAGTCTATGGATTTTGGTTGGAAAATGGAAGTTAGCCATTTGTGCGATAACCAAACAATTAAATAATTTCTATTTGTGCGTGATTATTTAGTTAAAACGAAGTAATGCGATCACATTGTATTGTTATACGGTCAGTACTTGCTAAGATTTTTGTAACACTTTGGTTATATTTTTGTTTTCATCCATCATGAACTACTGATAAGTTGTATGATTGCGTCATGTAAACGTATAGATATAGTATGTTGTAGCGCTAATTGTAAAAATCGTTAAGAGCGTTTACGTCTAGCGTGGCATGTCAAGTTTAGGTAATTTCGATGCTAGTTTTATTCACACTAAAATAATTAAGACTGTGTGCGTGTTCTCACGCTCTATAGTCAAACCAAAATACTTTGATCCACCATCGTAAAAGTGTGCCAGGCTGTCAAGTGACAGCTCAAGGAAACTATGTAATCTTCAAATCTTCCAACACCGACTCTATAATTATAAATAATGGTATATATTAGTCCTAATCAATAATAAATACGGAAATTCTTTATCAAATAGTAAATTATCAAAGGTTTTTTACTATTTTGAGAATATTTTATACAGCCTATGTTCAGCAGAATTTTTTTTAATTTTAATGGGTAGAGATTTTTTCAAATCGGTTCCATTCAAAACAAACTTTTCCTGTTTACTATTCTTTTTTTATCCGGAAAATGCTAAACATTTCATACCCACCAGCTGCGGGGGCAGCTAGTGGGTTATGTCATATGTGGGGTTCTTCCTACCAGAAGGTGGGTAGCCCCTACACCCACTAAAAACCTGACTGTTTCTGCCATGATCCATATGAGTGATATGAGGGAACGCGGGACATCGCCATTGGCTGTTGCCTTTAGCATTCGTACTTAGCCGCCACCAGACACCTCCATGTCTAGCGACCGAGGCCTGTTAGGAAGAGACAGTTGGAGACCATATAAGCTGTCCTCTTGCGCCCAGGGTGTCGGCGGCGGATAACCGGAGTGCCGGCTGAGGCCTCTCGCTCCCCCTTTCCACTGCTTCTTTCTGTGAAAGGACACTTTCACAGAAAGTAAGCACACTATACCATAAGATTATTTGTCTCATCATAATATTTTATATAGCGAGCGGGTTCATTCCGTACCTGTACGCTTCATGCGTTCTCTAGCAAAAGCTGAAAATCAGTGTTCTGCCCTTTTGAGGGTAGTGTTTATACTGAGCTCTTTGCNAAACATCAATCTTTTAAACTGCGATCTCCAACCCGCCTGCCAAGCGTGGAGATTATGGCAAAACCCTCCACTATAGTGGAGGAGGCTCATAGTCCAGCAGTGGACTGTAAAGGGCTGTTGATGATGAAATTAGAGAGTGCAGTGTTGAAAAAATGATTAAATGATGATACTTATACCAGCAGTGTCCTTTGAAACTAACATTCTCCTGCAGTGGAAGGCACTAAATGAACTGATGGAAGTGTCATTGAGAATGAGAGGGTCATGCTCCTGCAGTGGACCTGTTAACCTTTAACTATAGTCGTGAAAAAATAATCACACTCCCATGGACGTCGGGTCTCACAGACCCCTATCTAAAATTCTTCATAATTTCATATCTGAACCAATTTGAATTTATCAAAGAGTTGATATATATCTAATAACTATTAATAAAGGATTTAGTAGTAAATTAATCAATTTTTAATCATTATTTAATTATTTTTTGGCAAATTTAAAAAACATAGACGTTTTTCAGTGTTTAATTGNCGATTCTAATAAAAATACCATACACCATTACTAGATTTAGTAATTTTGGTTGAGAGTTCTTGTTTACCTTAACCTTTTCATTTGACAGGGATAAGTGATAACCTAAGCTTTTTGTCTTGACACCATTTTTGATGTGCCTTTCATCTTTGTATTATTAGACTATCTTCGATTGGCCTGAAGATTTCAGCCACGTTTAATTTCGCTTTGTAATATAACACTCAGGTGTATTTGCAAGTAATTTTTTAAGACATGTGATAAGGTTATGTTGATGTTTTGGTTGTGGTATATGTTACAGGTAACTGTAATCAATGACAGAAGTGTGAGCCATGGTATTGATTTATTGCAGCAAATACTGTGCAAATAGTGGTATTTTAGACAAAGGATGCTAATTTTCAAAGTGTACTGATTTATACAAAGCCAATGCTAAAATTTATTATGATGGACTTGACTGTACTTGCCATTAAATAAGTTAGTTTACATCTACAACAATATTTCAGATTTTTGTTTATTATCAATTACTTTCTGAGTGCATAAATGGTATGAGAAGTCTGAAATTATGTATCATTTTTCAGCATGTTATCTCTTTACAGTAATGGATGATAATATGAAATAAAATGATGGAGGGAGAAGAATTCAACCTCCATTGGGAGGAGGTTGAAGTTAAGGTAATTATATTTATCTTACAATTAATTTTATTACTACAGCTCAAGCTAGAAACATTGTATTTCATACTAGCTTTTCTATTAATTATCTTTAATTTATTATCTCACTTACCTGGTGTGATAAGAGAAGATTGTAAACAATATGTATAATTATGTTTTGTTTTTAATTATAGCATGGCATTGTTGAAGTCGAAGAAGAAGTGATATGCGGCCTCACAAGCCATGACACATCATATTCAAATGCGGTAAATGTTTTTTTATTATAAATGGTTTACTTTGTAATTGAAAAAAATTATAACTATTAAAACTTTTGATTATCACAGGGTCCAGGAGACATAATAGAAGAAAATGATCAGATGGCTGCAGAGAACTTGATGTATTTATCTCAAGATGTAGTGAACTACACAGAGACAGCGGAACTGGCTGACGATCCAAATGTAGAGTGTGTAACGGAAGAAGTCATCACTGATGACTGGGTCATACCTGGTGGGCAAGAGAGGTAGGTTCCTAACAGATCTTTGTAACAAAATACAGTCAGACTGTGTTTTTACTGTTATCACTGGTATATTATTGTGGCTGGATGTATCTGCAGTGAAATCACCAAAAATAATCAGGGTCAGTTTGTTTCTTAACCATAATGTTTAGTAGTGACCTTTTATGTTTTTTCAGAGTGGAAGTTCCTTTGGATCATTTAACTAATCCAGTTTCAGACGCCAAAGAAGAAAATGATGTTGACGTTCCACTCCCTACTGACCAGGTAATACTTTTTGGATGTTTTCTAATAGATCGTTATTACTAATAATATATTACAGTAAATAACATGATAATGCCTGATTATGATGCACAGTCACATAATCACATTGTTCAAAATCATTTTAACTAAACTAACATGTGATGTGCATATGGCCTGAATTACAGGCATTCACAATGTTAGGGTACTTAAACACTAGAATAAGTAGAAACCCTGCACAATATGAAAAAAAAAAAAACAATCTATTCATAAAATACTTTTTTCATTCATGAGATTATGTGATTCCATTATGTGAACATGAGTCTTCCCTGATCCATATGGGTAGTGCAAGCCATTTTATAAATTTGCATCTGGTAAAGGATATTTTTTTTAATAATGCCACCAGTGCTTTGGAAATATAAGAGAGGGTCGTGCTGTAGTGGAGGATGGACACTAATTGACCTGCCCCCCTAGACAATTCGCACTTTTTGATCGAGTCAATAATTGAATTCGTCAAAACTCCATACAAAAAAAGGCCTTTCGACCACTTTTCGACTGGTTTGCGATTATAATGTGCACTTTGTCTAGACCCGCTGATTAGGGTGGTCCTTATTTTTCGACTTTTGAATTATCCCCGNTGTAACATAAAAACATAAACAGAATTTCTGAAAGACATAAAATAAAAATTTTGACAAGGGTTAAACTTACAAAAATTATAAACAGTGGCCTAGAACACTAAAGACAAATTATCTCTACAGGCATGTGTCATCTTTCTTTGAGAGCTTTGATAGGCAAAATATACACCATTCAGAATCGGAATCGGCAGCAATGGTACCTTCTAAGACATCTAAACTCAAAAGAAGGATCGTCTACAAGTAAAACCTTACTTCTGGAATGTTACTTAGATAGTTGGGCTAATAATATAGCTGATATACTCAGATACTTTCTACCATTATATATTCTTAAACTAAAACAATTTACAACATATTATAATGATATACTATAAAAAAATTATAGTTGACAAGTCACATCCATACAAGTATGTTTGTATGGAAATTATAGTCATCGGGTCTCCCAGACCCCGATAAAATTTTGGATGGTTATTACTCACGTAATAAGTGCCGGAAGACGCGATTTTATGCCTCCTCGGTCCTAACACAGTTAAAACTGAAGCTACTGAGATGGTCGAGAGCAGCACGTGTCGGGAAGGTATTTAAACCGAGAAATCGAAAAGGGGGGTGGGCCTCTGAGACCCGACGTCCATAGTTAAAGGTTAATGATGATAATACAAATACCACGAGTTACTAACGCTGCTTATAACACAGGACGAGTACACAGCGATGCGTCCATGGCCGTGCGACTTCTGCTCGCGGCGGTTCCGCAAGAAGGCGGCGCTGATGAACCACATGGTGGCCCACCAGAACGACAGGCCGCACGCGTGCAACTTGTGCGGCGTGCGATACGTACGCAAGTGTGACCTCATCAACCACTTGAAGGTTCACGCGTTTGTGCCGGACAACCAGGATGTCATGGACTATGGTGAGTGTGCAATTTTTAATGGACTGTCCCGCTGATGCGATATGAATAATATTACAGGTGTGATATTTTTTATTTATTTATTTAAACTTCTTGCACTTAATTATTGTACAGTAGATAGATCTGGAGTTTCAGTATGTGGCACTTAACTGTGTGTGACCTTGAAGTTAGCTTAAACTTGTAATTTGAAGAAATTAAATAAAAATTATATTTGGGTACTTGATACCATGAATCAATAATTCCAAAACACAACTTAAAATCTTAGGCTGAATTGCACCATCTTACTTTAACTTTGACAAACGTCAAAAATCCGTCAAACTCCATACAAAAAGCACCGGTTATTGCCACGGTTAAAATAAGGTGGTGCAACTCAGCCTTAATTTTTAATTTGCTACAAAATCAGTTTATTTTCTTTTCTTTTTTTATGTATAACATAACAATTTAGATTAAAATAATTAAATCGCAATGTCATTCAGGTTCTTTTTGCCATATAACATTTATAGGTNTTATAGGATTGAAATGCTCATAAAAACTAATATGTCAATTAGTTGGTGATGACAACTACCTTGAAAATAATTTGGTAGCACTGCATAGCCTACTGATAAAGTTAATTACTTAATTCCTGTTCATAAATTTATTTTAATTTATTGTTTCTGTTTTGTCAAATGAATTCTGCTTTTTGTGGTAGCTAATGTAAAAAAAATATAGGATTATAGTTGGCAATATCAATAACTATTCCATTACTTTCCTACACATAATCCAATGTACAAACTGTAAACCATATCGAAAATGATTATTTTGTAATCATGTCATGCTTTTTTTGTTAGATCTAGGCTAATTAATATTGGAATGAACAATAGAATTCTTGTTTACAGATGACATTATAGATACTCAAGTTACTACTAAACCAAAGAAGAAAAAAGGACGACGGAAAAAGAATCCAGAACCAGTAGAGGTAGAGCTATTATTATTTGCGCTGTTATCTTTTTTCACAGGTTTTATAATCGATTTAGTTATCACATAGTTAAATATTGTTCTTTACAACCAAGGGAAGTCCACTGCTGGACAAAGGCTTTCCCTAAGGATTTCCACAACAGCACTGCCCGCTCGATCCAGGTGCTTCCCGCGACGTACATTAAAGCGTTAGTCTAGCGAGTGGCCTACATTTCCCGTCCGTAATCGCCACTCGAGAACTATTTTTCTCAAACAACTATTAGTTTGTACGAGCTGTGTCGTCCACTGCTACTTAAATTAAAAATTCTGTGAGCTGTTTCGGTTAAATTATTATGCTTGAAAAATTGAAATCTATTCCCTATTTACCTTGGTCACGGCATCGGCGTGATAGCCTGAATTGGTTTCTCTGTTTCTTTTTTTGTTGTGGTTGTTATTGTCACGAGAAGTTTCAGTAAAAAAATTAAGCACATAAGTGTGATTAATATGACCATACTAGCTGTGCCCGCGACTTCGTACGCGTGAAAACCCGTTTTCGCAACATTTTTCATTGTTGCTCTGCTCCTATTGATCGTAGCGTGATGTTGTATACCCTATAGCCTTCCTCGATAAATGGGCTATCTAACACTGAAAGAATTTTTCAAATCGGACCAGTAGTTCCGGAGATTAGCGCGTTCAAGTAAACAAACAAACAAAAAAAGTCAGCTTTATAATATTAGTATATATGTTACGGTTAATGTGATAAATTGAAAATTATTAATAATATCCGGTTATTATGAATAATTATCGACAGTCGCGGTAAAAGTGATAAATTAATCACATTTAACAGTGATTATTTAATAATTCAACCTTACTACTAACAAATTTCATAAAAGAGAACAACATCTTGTGTACGTGCTCGTGTACAGCCAAACTTTTGAACGTTTTGATATCATATATTAATATAATTTGGCATAATGAGTTTGGAATGTTTCTTGCGTAATATTACTTTTTCATGACGCCTATAACATAATGTTTTCATTTAAAGTGAAAAATAGGTTAAGGTGCGGCGGGGGTGGCCCTTGGGCCACCCCTAAGCCGCCTATTTAGTTTTATACACACATAAATGACCTCATATTAATCACATTTACCAAATCATGCGGTAATTATTCATAATAACCGGCGATTATTTATAATTTTCACATTTATCACTTTGACCGTAACATATAGATTAACTTTTCATAAAATTAAAAATTCATAAAATTCATTTATTTTTGCAAATAGGTTTTAAAAAAGCGCTTTTACACGTCCCAATATTAACCCTACCACTGCTTCGGGACAATAAATGGGCCAGTGCTGAGAAGAAGCAGCGCAAGAATCTCAGTCACTATTATACAGGACGTCTGTCCGGATAGCTAGTTAAAATAATAAATACAATCAAACAGAACGGCCTGTGGGAGAACATGACATCGGCTAGGACGCAGCAGTGGTCACGGCGCGCGCGCACGCCGCCCAAGCCGCCGCCGACACCGCCGTCGCCGCCCACGCCGCCGTCGCCGCCCTCGCCGCCGCCGCCGCCCGCCGACCCCGCGCGACCTTTCGTCTGCCGCCAGTGTGGCATCGGCTTCGCTAGGGAGAAGGCTCTGCAGTCGCATGCGAGGGTGAGTACTGAGTACTAACCCGGTAAAGGGTTTTTCGGTGATAAAAATATTATGTAGTGTGATTTAAATGCACCCTTTCCTGTCCCACCAATGCGGTATGTGCTTGATGATGCGGATTAGGGCTGATTTTTCAATCGTCAGATACCTTTTGACTAAAGAATTAACTTATTGTTGCCATTAACTGTCAATATGCCAAACTTAGGCTGAGTTTCACCTCCTAACTCTGACCGTAACTGTAACGATAACTGGTGTTTTTCAATGGAGTTTGACAGATTTTTGACGTTTGTAGTAAAATAAGATGGTGCAACCCAGCCCTATTCGTCAGTTATTTATCCGTAGATTGAAAAATCAGCCCTAAGTATAAGCTTGTTCAATATTGTTCTCAAAATGTTACTTTTTTAAGAATCAGCGAGTCTTTCTTTAAAGTAATACAGGAATTAAAGACGTTTTGCCTTCGTGCCGTAAAATATCGCGGATCGCTCTCAGTTTGACCTGTATGACCCAGTTTCCACCAAGGCGGAGCGGAGAATTTAAGTGTTTTGAATAGCCAATCAGATTATTTCCAAATGTCCACTCCGATCCGCAGCCACCGCCGCTGCCGCTGTCAAATTCTACAGAAAAGTAATTCGCCCAGCACATCTCTTTTCTTCTCAGCTCTGCTCCTCCTTGGTGGAAACCGCGCCTGAATTTGTACGCGATTATCCCGCGTTTGGGTGAATCGATTTTGTAGTGGCTTCCAGAAACGTATTTGTTACATTCTGGAGAAGGTTTTTGTACGCATTTTTTGTCATTATATCCCTTATGTATGATATAACAGGTGCACGGAGGCGACTCGCCGGTGGAGTGCGGCGAGTGCGGCGAGCTGTGCTGGTCGCGCGAGGCGCTGGCCACACACGCGGCCGCGCGTCACCCGCACCTGCCGCCGCGGCCCAGCCACGCCGCGCCCTACCAGGTGGACGACGAGGGTACGTGTCCAGTCTCCATTCTAGCTAGGCGATGAACTTCACGAAAAAATAGTTATGTCTCCTTTTTCTGACTGTTCCACTGTTGTAAGCCGAGGGTACGTGTCCAGTCTCCATTCTAGCTAGGCGATGAACTTCACGAAAAAATAGTTCCCGTCTCCTTTTTGTGACTGTTCCACTGTTGTATTTGTAGGCCTATGGTTATCACGCCATCAGTCCCCACTCTAACGAGGCAACGAACTTCACGGAGAAATAGTTCTTAGTCTCCTTTTTGTGACTGTTCCACTGTTGTAGACCTATGGTTTACTCCCACTAGGTGGACCGACGATCTGGTGAAGGTCGCGGGAGGTGCCTGGATGCTAGCGGCGCAGGACCGGTCTTTGTGGAAATCCTTGGGGGAGGGCTTTGTCCAGCAGTGGACGTCTTTCGTTCTGAAACGAACGAACGAACGAGACCTATGGTTATCACGCCATTTTATCAATTTTGCCCATATATTTTGATGTCGACAAAAACATCACGGCGCGCAACCTAGCCCGGTTGAAGTCAGTTATAAACAGTCTGCCCATCATATCTTGTGTGATCTTTGGAAATATGAACGTGACATAATGCTTGATTCAATACAACATACATCTGTTTCTGCAATTTTATCACACCGATCTTGTTGCGACAAGGAAAAATCGATTTTGTGAAAAATATTATTGGCAGGCTAATTGCTCACAAGATAGGTCCCTTTGATGCTTTCTGCAGAACTTGAATTCAGTGTCTATTTCTTATATTAAATAAATAAATCCCCGTCCAGATGACGACATGGACTTCAAGCTGTCGCCGGCGGCGCACAGCGGCAGCGCCGAGCGCGTGTACGAGGCGGTGCGCGGGCCCGAGCTGTTCTGCCAGGACTGCGGCGTGGCCTTCCAGCGCGCCGACCTGCTGCGCCGCCACGTGGCCGCCGCGCACAGGTAAGAAACAGTTTAAAGCAGGCGGAGAAGTGATATTGTGGGTGATACGGATCTAAAAGTCTAATACCAGTTTTCACCATCAATCCCTAATTTTTAAGTGACCCCTATGGTAACACATAACAGGAAATTTGTTTGCAAAGAAAACGGGCATAAGGCTGAGTTACACCAACTTACTTTCACAGTAACTTTAATAATGACCGCTGTTTTTGTATGGAGTTTGACAGATTTTTGACGATTGATAAAGTTAAAGTTAGATGGCGCAAATCAAGCAATCAGCCTAAGTCGATGTTGAAAACGTCTTTTGATTGCTTAGAGCGGTTTCGCATTACACGTTCAGAATCCAATCCTAAGAAGGGCCTGCTTTAAAACTCGCGCAAGCGCGCGCACGCGTGACGCCAAGATAGGCAAGCTAATGTTGCGGGTGTCCAATAAATAGGCGTACACATATACCCGCGATGGAAGACCGGGGCGAAAATCCGCAAGGTTTAGCGCTGGCACTCGGTCCGGAGTAGTTCTAGAGCTTGTATGTTGCATTTTACGCGCTAGAGCAAATTTCCTTCGTTCAATTTCTGTAGTAGTTTCCTAGATTCGTATTTTCACACGGATTCAGATCGGAAATTGTTTAAATTTTCCAAAATATCTAAACATTATCATTTGTGTAGCTACAAACGCCACGATAGCACGAGCAGCGCGTGGGGCGAGCACACGTGCGACGTGTGTGGCGAGAGCTGTACTGACGCGCTGCAACTCCTGGCGCACGCGGAAGGCCACGCCGAGCGCCACCACACCACTCCCAGGTCAGATTCAGCTGCTCATTGACGTCAAGAAAAAATATTGTACTAAAAATAACCCCCAACCACAGATTACTAATAGTCCAGTAGAATTAGATTTTAAATCTACTAGATTTTAAACTACAAAAGATTTTATTGCTTTAATGGCTTCATTGGTTGCCCATTAAGACTCTCCTAGGTTTTCGACTTCGACGGAGTTGTGCTTAAGTGGTGGGGGCCCCCGAAAGGGGCGCTTTTTAGGTTTTCCGGTTATACCGCGTAAAGGACTTACCCTATCGAAAAGTGGTCTTCCTGACGATTGAAGGGCATTTAATCCTGCATTAAATAAGACCAAATTCATATGTTTTGGACAAACCGTTCTCGTGCAAATGTTCGACAAAGTAGAAAATATGTGTATATTTAATGACCGTCTCCACGTCCAATAGCTCGTCACCCGTAGGCTCCCAAGCCTTGTAAAGGGTCGCCTTAACCAGCGTATCCCTGTCAAGGCTCACAAGTTGGATTCGCTTATCCTTGTTCGTCCCAGCCGTTCCTTAACTGCGGTTGCTGCACCTCTCCCTGGCACTCTCCTGAATGACTCTGTGTTACCTAATGTGGCTGCCCCTCTTCCTTGTATCCTCCTGCACGAATACGTTGCCTAGTTGTATGCCTGGTGGCGATCTATGCACACGCAGTGATCGCTATTGCTCCTTCATGCGCGCGAGTGACGGAGGCCTGCCGTAGCCGTTGATGTTTTAAAATCTATCTTTCGTCGAAATCTAACAAGATGATTATGATGATTGATTTGAAAACTGCTAATCCAAGAAACATTGTTACAGATTAAAAAAGCAGTCTCGAGGTCGAAATAACGTGTCTTCAAGTAGTTCAAGACAATTCCCATGTAGAGAATGTGGTAAGTATTATAATTTATTTGACGGAAATATTTTAATACAACCTCTTCGAAACATTCTGCTTCATAGAGATCTTAAGCCTTGTTCATACACACGCGGTTTGTTGGTAGTTTTTATTGGCGAGGCACTGAGGCGGTAACCGTGCGGTTATGGCTCGATGCAAACTGTCCAGCAACCGCGCAGATTCCGCCGTGTCTGAACTAGGCTTTAGATCACCAATATAATCCTAACGTGACTATAACTATTAATTTTGTTTTGAACCTATATTATACTGATTTACTTTTTATCGCCAATCAGATGGTATAATTTGCTAAAGCCAATGCTTTTTATAAAACACTAGCTGACCCGGCGAACTTTGTTCCGCCTTAATGGCAATAAATAAGCAGACTTTTTTTTTTAATTTCGAACGGGATAAAAAGTATCCTATGTCCTTCTCCTGGCTCTAAACTACCTCCCTGACAATTTTCAGCTAAATCGGTTCAGCCGTTCTTGAGTTATAAGTGGAGTAACTAACACGACTTCCTTTTATATATACAGTGTGTCCGGGCTTGTAGNTGTTCAATAAAACTTGTGATGCTAACGGGTACCTCTCGGCTTCGTCATTTGCAAGCTGTTTCATAGTTCGTAATGCTAAGAATGGGGCTGACTTAGTCCCATATGTCAAAGTACATAGCTGATACTCTTTAATGGGATCCTGTTGGTGATCTCTCCATACGATCTTTTGAAGATGTTGATCACTTTCATGGACCAGTATCATGCGGTACATCTTTTCACAGTCTGCTGAATAAACGAATCTGAATGTTCTCCAGTTTAAAAGCAGGCTCTGAATGTCATTATGTAATTTAGGTCCGCACTCCATCAGGTCATTTAAACTGTATCCTGATTGAGTTTTAGCTGACGCATTGAATACCACACGTAACTTTGTCGTTGTGGATTCTTGTTTATGAATGTCATGATGTGGTAAAAAACAACTTGGCTCTGTTTTATTTATGCATTGTTTCATGTGCCCCAAAGACACATATTCCTGCATAAACAGTTTATAATTGTCATTCAAATGTTCATTTTTTAACAGTCTGGACTCCAATTGCCTGAACTGTGCCATGGCTTTTGGTTTGGAAGCACCAAGACGTTCGTCAAACTTATCTGTCATAGGCAGCCGTACTTCGTACTGCCCGTTCTGTAATCTCCTTGTGGTGGATACATAAAAGTCCTCACACCACTGTTCTCGTTCTGTCAACCCACTTACGTTATCTGTCACTTCCTCTATNTCAGTAGGTATAACCAATTCCCCTTGTAATTGGCCTGATATGATGTTCAGCTGATTCTGCAGTTGACTCGGTGATATCAGATGTATGTCAAGTTGCCCATGGTAGATGTTTGTTATGGTGTCAATAAGTGTTTCTTGAATACGTCTCAGGTTGGAAATGATGACATCAGTAGATAAAGCTGTAGTTATAGTGTAGAACATTTTGAGATGATGTGCATTAGCTAATTTGACGTCATTCACTTCTTGGGACAGATTCTTCAAAAGCTGATTGATGTATGAAAAATGTTGATTCATGACGACTTCATTTCGTTTCAAAATATTGTTTTCAGCTTCCAGTATCGAAGTTTGGTTTTTCAACATTTTGAACAGATGTTTTTCCGTGTTTCTTACGGCTTCAANTTGTCAGAATACATATGTTTAGGTACTCCGCGACGGGCACACATTCGCTTGAATGCTGCAAGGAATGATGCAGAACTTAAGTCAGCGACGAGCTCTAAATGTACAGCTTTCGTGGAAAAGCAAACAAAGACGGCTATGTAGCCCTTGAGTGTTTTTACACCCCTCCCTTTATTTGCTTTTACATCGACAAAGCCTGTAAAATCGACGCCTGTGTGGGTAAAAGGCTTAGACGGTGTCACTCTCGGCTTGGGTAGATCGGCCATCAGCTGATGCTGCCCTTGTGTGTTAAACCGCTGACACTTCGTGCATTGTCTTATTTGCTTTTTTACCGCTCTGGTGCCACTTACAATCCAGTACATGTTACGACAGTGGGCTAATGTTAGCGATGCACCACCATGCAGCGTGGCCTTGTGGGCTTCGCTGATGATGAGACGCGTCAAGTGTGAGTCATGGGGCATAAGTATAGGATGCTTATTGTCATATGATAACTTTGACTGTTGTAGTCTTCCCCCAACTCTCAAAATGTCATTGTCATCCAGAAATGGGTTTAATGTCAATATAGAACTCTTTGGCTTAAGGTTTTGTTTGGCCTTGAGTCGTAAGATGTCCTCGCTGAAATGCTGCGCTTGCTTACGTTTCATGTCAATTTTCGGAGTTTCACATATTTTCATCTCCGGCATGATGTCATTTTTAAGCCATGCAGGGCCTTCCCACCACAATGAGTTGTTGGTAAGCTGGGAAGGTGCTATTCCTCTCGTGGCACAGTCCGCCGCATTATCCTCGGACTTTGTGTGTCTCCAGCAAGATGCTGGCATGACGTCAGTTATTTGCTTTACGCGATTGGCAACAAACGTCTTCCAACGCGTAATGTCACCTTGCAACCACCCAATAACCACCATGCTGTCTGTGTATCCGTATATTTGTAATTGAATATTTGTAGGTATTGATGTCATAATTTTCTGTACTAATTTTGTCAACAATACGGATGCACAGAGTTCTAGACGTGGTAAGCTAACTGGCTTTTTGATTGGTGCAAGTTTTGTTTTGGCGGCAAGTAACCTAATGATCACTTGACCATTGTCATCTATAGACTTAACATATACTGAACATGCTAAAGCCTTTTCTGATGCGTCCGAAAACCCATGTAATTGAATAGGCCTTTCCGTATTTCCAATCCATCTAGGTATTTCGAACTTGTCAATGTTTTTTAAGTCATCTCTCAATTTTCCCCACTCGATTTGTATGTCATCCGCTATGACGTCATCCCAACCAATCCCCGACGACCATGCACCTTGAAACAGTAATTTCGCCTTGATAGTGATTGGCGACAACCATCCCAAAGGGTCAAATAGTTTGGAGATATCGGATAGCATCATGCGTTTTGTGTACTTTGTCACATTCATGTCAATGTCATAATCAAGTTTACTTCGGAACTTAAATGAGTCCGTAGTCGGTTCCCATCTAAGCCCTAATGTTGTTGTAGACTCTGCATGTTTAAAGTTTACCACACTTGGGTTTAGTTGTTCATCAGATAGGTGCTCTAGTAGCTCTGATGAGTTGCTGGACCACTTTCGTAAGTTGATTCCAGCACCTTGTAACATGTCAATCAATTGCAACTGTGTTTGCTTTGCTATGTCAAGTTGGTTATGACCTGCCAAAAGATCGTCTACATACACGTTGTTCAATAAAACTTGTGATGCTAACGGGTACCTCTCGGCTTCGTCATTTGCAAGCTGTTTCATAGTTCGTAATGCTAAGAATGGGGCTGACTTAGTCCCATATGTCAAAGTACATAGCTGATACTCTTTAATGGGATCCTGTTGGTGATCTCTCCATACGATCTTTTGAAGATGTTGATCACTTTCATGGACCAGTATCATGCGGTACATCTTTTCACAGTCTGCTGAATAAACGAATCTGAATGTTCTCCAGTTTAAAAGCAGGCTCTGAATGTCATTATGTAATTTAGGTCCGCACTCCATCAGGTCATTTAAACTGTATCCTGATTGAGTTTTAGCTGACGCATTGAATACCACACGTAACTTTGTCGTTGTGGATTCTTGTTTATGAATGTCATGATGTGGTAAAAAACAACTTGGCTCTGTTTTATTTATGCATTGTTTCATGTGCCCCAAAGACACATATTCCTGCATAAACAGTTTATAATTGTCATTCAAATGTTCATTTTTTAACAGTCTGGACTCCAATTGCCTGAACTGTGCCATGGCTTTTGGTTTGGAAGCACCAAGACGTTCGTCAAACTTATCTGTCATAGGCAGCCGTACTTCGTACTGCCCGTTCTGTAATCTCCTTGTGGTGGATACATAAAAGTCCTCACACCACTGTTCTCGTTCTGTCAACCCACTTACGTTATCTGTCACTTCCTCTATCTCCCAAAATCTGGACATATCTTCAACGTTATTAGTTACAACATGACAATTGAACGTAGAAGATACGTTTCCAGACAATATCCATCCCAACTTGGTTTGCTGGGCGATAGGTTCATTTGGTTTACCTCGTAACAATCCACTCATGATTATTTCCGAGTAAACTTTGACGTCAAGTAAAATGTCTATTGGCTTTGAAATGTGATACTTTGGATCGGCTAATTGAATATTTTGTAAATAAGAATATTCTATGTTCGATAATGATGTATTTGGCAAGTTATTGACGACCTTAGACATAATGAGGGCCTCTGTAACGAACTCATAATTGTCATAAATAGATTTACAATCCAATGTCACTTTCCCTCTGCCTTTTTTAGCCGCAATACCTACTCCACAAATGGATGCGTTGATTTGTTGACGGCGTAAGCCTAAACGTTGTACTGCATTCTCCGTGATCAAGGTAATTTGTGACCCTTGGTCTAACAGAGCATTTAATGTCATATAGGAACCGTCATAAGCCTTCACCCCTATCTGTACTGTTGTTAATAACATTTCATCACTCTCACTGTCAACATGATTTGCATTCTTTTGTGGTTGCCCTGTAGGGCGAGATGATGAAATATTATTTGTTGAGGTCGATGGCTTATTAGTGTTACAAATAGCATCGTGCAGCAGTGTGTTATGTGCAGCGTTGCAATTTCTGCACCGATTCACTGATTTACAAATACCTAATTCGTGTTTAAATAAGCAGTTATTGCATACGTTATATTTCGCAACAATGTCAAGTTTTGCATCCGGTGTCATACTAATAAATTTTTTGCAATTGTATAGCGCATGATCAAAATTACATAAAGGACATTTAAATGATTTGAAATTAGTATGATATGCCCTTGTAAATGTAGGTTTTTTAGAGTTAGAAAAGGACTTATTTAATTTATTATAGTCAGTTTTGTCATTTTTGTTAGTCATATTCTGTTGTTGTGGTTTAGCTATAGGTTCTAAAGCTGTAAATTTAGTTTCTAAAAACGTCATTAGTTCGCCTAAGTCTGCTAATTCTCTCGGTTTTTTCCTCGACTCTTGGTAGTC